GCTGATCACTGTTTTTAAATTGTCTTGAAAGTTTGTTTTGCTGTTTTCTGTTTATCTGCTTTAACCTCACATGTTCAGCGGCGCGTCTGCCAACGCACAAACACTGTTTGAACTGTCTGATTTTGTTATTATTGGCAGTTTAGGGCTGCTGTTGTTTCTTATTAAATTTATAATTTTTGAACAAATAAAACTCGGATTTAACTTTATTTTTATCTAATAACTTTATGAATCACATTGCTGAAATGTGTTCACGTGGACGCGAACCGCGGGGAATAATTTCTTTTGAAGAATGTGACCGTTGTCGCTGTTTCTCATTACAGCTGATTCTTAAACAGCGAACAATTTAATAACATAGGCGCAACTGTTATTAACATAAGCAAAACGAAAAAGAAATAACGTGCTTTGCCGTTAACAGTAAACTTATTTTTTAAATTATAAATAAAAGAACTTACATAGCACGTCAATACTTACACCGGTGCTTAAAAAGAAACTATAATAATTTTTTATGTACAAAAATTACGGGAAACGCGAAGAAAATATTTAGTGGCCGTTACATTGATCAATTGTCGATTTATTCAACATCGATTCTTTTTACGGTGATAACCTCCGATCGTTGCTTACGTTGCATTACAGTTGTAGAAGCATTGAACTTCTAAGATCTCCGATACTTTCCAGACGTTCACTTCCCACGATTTATTCCACTGGTTGATCTAGTATAAAAAAATTCAAAGGTTTTGGTTATCAAATTTATTTGTATGAATGAACTTTAAATTAGCAGCTAGAGAGACAATATGGATCTGCTGAAATACGGGTATACATATATATTGATTTTATTTTCTTTTGTTAAAGAGAAGTTTCTGAGACAAAATTTTGTTTTAAATCTGCCCACAGCATACAAATTTTTAGTTCGACTCAATCGCAATACATTCTGTGTACATATATTAAATTAAAAAAACTTGGTTACGTGTGTAATCTGTTGTGTGCGGAAGATATTCATATAAATAATTAACGACGCTTGACGCTTGTCCATTCGCCATCATCTCCAGCTTTGTTTTCTGTAATGAGAATTGAATTCCATTTTTAATTACCTATCAAAGTCGCTGTTATCAATAGTCACGACTCACCCTTGTCCTGTGGCTGATCGCGCTTGACCGGAGGTTTTTCATCGCGTGGAGCTGGAGCCGTACGCCAGTTACCACCACCGCCACCGCCGCCTCCTTCCTTGGGTCCAGCGCCACGAACATCGCGTCTGTCGCCAGCCGGACGGCGATTATCTCGATTATCGCGATCGTTTTGACGGGGCGAATCGCGCCAGTTGCTGCCTGTGTCACGCTGGGGCTGATCGTCACGACGAAAGCCACCGCGATCATCATCACGGCGTGGTCCATCATTACGGCGGAATGAGTCACGATCACGATCACGATCGCGATCACGATCACCACCAAGGCGATCGGAGCGATCACCACCACGACGCCACTTGTCATCGCGACCAGACGGACCACCAGCGCCAGCACCGCCACCACGCTCTGAACGATCCATACCAGTGTTAGCAGCACCTGGACCACGCTGTGATTCGACAGGTTCACGGCGCACACGCCATGACGAATCAGCACCGCCATCAGTATCCTTGCGCTCTGGGCGATCATTGCGATCGCTACGCTCAATGCGGTCGCTACGATCATTACGGTCATTGCGATCGCTACGATCGTTACGGTCATTGCGATCGTTACGGTCATTGCGATCACTTGTAGGAGCATTACGACGCCACTCGCTGGCACCGCCGGCTGCAGCACTTGGTCGTTCGCTGCGATCACCGCGTGGACGCCAGACATCGCGTTCCTTTTCGCTGCGCTCACGCTCGACAGCGACCTCGCGGGCAAGACGTTCGCGATCTTCCTGGATCTTGCGTTCGGCCTCCTCCTCCTTGGCACGTTGCTTTTCATATTGCTGACGACGCTTCTCATCCTCTGCCTCACGTTCCAGACGACGAGCCTCGGCAGCGGCACGCTCTTCGGCCTCGCGAGCAAGACGTATCTCTTCCTCCTTGCGGAAACGTTCCTCTTCCTTGGCACGCAGGTAGGCTTGGCGGCGTTCCTCACGACGACGCACCACACGCTCAGCGAGACGCTTCTTACGCTCCTCCGCAAGAGCAATTTCGAATTTCTTGAGCTTCTCAACGAAGAGCGAGGCACGCTCTTTCTTGAGTGCTTCGAGAAACTCATCGCGATCGGGATACATACGCTTAAGGCGCTCCTGCTGGCTAACGGCATCCTTGCGTTCGGCAATAGCATTCTCAATGCGAGTGGCTTCGGTGGCCTCCCAAAACTCCTTGTCCTTGACATTCTTCTCAGCCAAATATTTCTCAAAGAGCGGAATCTCCTCAAGACGCTTGGCACGCTCAAAGTAATCAACCTTCTTTTCTTGCGACTTGAGCTTGGACTGTAGCTCCTTGCGCTCTCGCTGCAGCTCTTCGCTTTCACGCATAGCAATTTGCTCAGCATCGAGCTTCTTGATGCCTTCCTCATCCAATTTGGAAAGCATTTTTTTGCCGTGCGCAGTCTGCGATATTTGCTGCACCTTCTCCTTAAGGCTCTTCTCCTTGATCGCCTGGATTTCGTTCTCATGACGCTTGCGCTCCCGCTCCTCCTGTTCCTGCTCCAATCGCTTCTGCTCGGCCAACTTGGCTTTACGTGACTCCTCCTCGTGGCGCCGGGCCTCTTCCTCTTCACGGGCATTATTCTGCTTCTCAATGAACTCCTTACGATCTTCAATGATCTTCTGGCGCTGCAGAATGCGCTGATGTTCACGATCCTTGATCTCATGGTAGTGCTGCACCATTTGGCTACGCAGCTTAGCCCTCTGATCACGCTCCCGATTCGGATATACAATAGATACGGCTCGAGTTAACACGGTGGACATGTTGACTAGCTGGGAACGAATCTGCTCCGAGGGCATCGACTGCAGTGTGGGTCCGTCAGGACGATACTCGCGCTGACTCTCAGTTAGATCGGTGCCGAAGTAAATGCTGTTGCGCTGATGATCAATGCGTATTTGCATGTCATTGTGACGCACTGACTCCACCAACAGTTTCTCCAGCTCAAAAATATTGCAGAACGGCGCCAGTTCCAGCAAACGCTTAAACTCGATGCTCTCATAGACTTGAGAGATTTGACGTATTAGACGCATTATAGTCACATCCTTTAACGATTGGATATAAGGTGTGAGCAGAGTATTCTCCGTTTCACTGGCTTCAATGGTATCCACAATAGACTGAATACGCTTGCATAGATTGAGTGGGTTAAAGTCCACTTCGAGCCAGTTGTATAGGTTACGGAAGTCTTCGGATACCAGATTCGGCACATTCAAGCGCACCTAAATATTAAAATAAATTAATAAATATATATACAAATTTTTGTTGCATTTCTTCCACTCACAACTTCTCGGATTAGAGAGACACGCGTTGGCGGCTGGGGCAGACCCAGCAGCACGGCCAGCTTCTGAGCTTTTTCTAGAGGACTCTTGTCCGCCTCGATGAACCGATCGAATTCCGGATGAGCAGAAGGCAGAGGTATCGACAGTGTAGCCAGAAGTACATGAGCAGCCATACGCTGCAGATCATCCTTAGTAAGATTTTTTTTGAGCTCACGAGTCAACTGGAACAGCTTAAGCAAAGCGGCTGCATGGAAGAGCTGATTGCCAGCCTTGCTGAAGACCATTGCCAATTTCTGATAGTAATTGGCCATGGTTTTTGGCACCGGCGTCTTCTTGGACATGGCCATCAGGCCGTGAATGTCCTCGATTGCCTTGTAGGCCTCTTGCCACAACTCCATCTGTATGGCCGAGTCTAACAAGTAGAGCCTGGTATCCAGGCACAGCTGCTGTGTCTCGACCTTGTTGATAGACACGCCTGTTGTTTGATTGCTGCTCTTGCAGATGTCTTCAAGATGCTTACGCAGCTTGTCACACAAGCGACGGAATTCACTCTTTCGGTTGTACTTCAAGCAAAACTGAAAAGCCATGCGCGCAATATCATGATAGAGCGCCTCGCAATGGGTGTTGACGCGCAACAGCTCAAGACACTGGCAATAGGATTCCCAAAGGAATTTAACCCATGGCAACAAAATAGTACGATCCGAACGATCCTGGGCATCCTCTCCGCAAACGGCACTCATCAAAATGCTCTCTGGTGTCGCAATATTATCAAGATCATCCAGCTCCAGCACAGCCACGGCGGCCGATGATTGCGCCTGAGCCGCCTCGGTATGCTCCTCGGCCATTTTCAAGTAGCCGCGTATAACATTCTCCAGTGAGTTCACATTCACCAATTGGAACATGTTACGATATTGGAAGAGACCCTCCTTGGCAATATGCGACTTCTTGAGCTCCACGCACAAGTACAAGTACTTGAACATGAGAGGCTCAATGACCGTCTCGGAGTAGGCATAATTCCACCTCTTGTTGCGGAAAACCTCCTGCAACGTATCCAGGGCACGCAAAGGCTTTCCAACCTCAATAAATTCTGCATAGCAGGACAAAAAGAGACAAAAAAGAAACGGTTAAAAAAAAATTCATTCACAATGGTACACAATTGAGCGCCTGTCACTTTTGACATTTCGCTTTGATCAGCTAATTCGCTGCCGCATGGAAAATTTTCTCGCACTTACCATTGGCTCGTTTAAGAGCATTTTCCGGACGTTGAGTGTAACGTGCCATTTTAACTTGATTACAATTTAATGCACTGACACTTTATACCGTTTTTTTCACAGTTTTTGGACAGCGATGAGGCTTGCTGTAGCAGAAAATTTAGAAAAATCTTCAGCTCGCCTACGTGTGCCTCCGAAGTTTATGCAAAATGACCGAGTTGACGTTTCACAGAGTTGCACCCTATCGGCCCAATCGATAGAAATTACAAAATAATCGATATGTTAACACCTCTGTAAAGTTAAAAGAACAGATAAATATACACGCTTATACACATAATGATATTTACAATTTAGAAACATGACAAAGTTATGGAAAAAATATATACTTTGGTTTGCCCAGGAGCACGTTGACTTTCGTGTCGCGGAATTCGAATCAATTGTTAAATTATTTAGTCTACAATTTCGAAACCTTTCAGAACATCGTTTGGTAACAGACATCGGCCTACTTGATTCCAGCCAATTTCAGTATAAAATATATTTTACAGAAACCCTTTTGGCTAGTGGAATTTCCAAATGATGAAACAGCACACCAATATGCATCCCGGTCGATTGCACTACGCTCTATCATCGAGTTATATTCGCATGCCCACACATTTCCTGAATTTCATAAACAATTGCAAAATCACGTGCATTCGCATCAAGGAGCTCTCAAGGAATTTTTTAAGGCCACCAGCTTCAAGATAACCGTGGAGACATACAACAAACACTTTAGCCAGCGCGAGAAGGTGGAAAAGATCGAAACTATGGACTATTTGCCGATCGAAGGAGCTGTTAATCTAAAGAATCCACAAGTCGAATGGTGGTATCTGGAATTTTGGGGCCTGGATCCCACAGCTGTACCTGCTGAACCCGAAGATATTCTCTTTGGACGCATGTTGGTGCACGGACAGCGGCATTTAATCAAGCAGCTCTCACTGAAACAACGCAAATTCATTGGCAACACAAGCATGGATGCACAGCTCAGCCTCCTGATGGCCAATCAGGCATTGGTGCGTGACGGCGACCTCGTTTTCGATCCTTTTGTAGGCACCGGCTCGCTGCTGGTAAGTGCAGCGAAGTTTGGAGGGTATGTGCTGGGCGCCGACATTGACTTCATGATGGTGCATGCACGCTGCCGGCCCAGTCGCATTAGCCAGAAGGTGCGTGAGAAAGATGAGAGCATTCGCGCTAATCTGCAACAGTATGGATGTGCGGATCGCTACATGGACGTGTTGGTCGCTGACTTTTCAAATCCGTTGTGGCACAGACGAATTACCTTCGATAGCATCATCACCGATCGTGGGTACAGCCTTTTCTAAGAAGTCATCAATCGAAATTTACGCAAATTTCTCTTTACTGGCAGCTCCATATGGGATACGTGAGGCAACGGAAAAGGTGGAGACTAAAGTTAATCCCAAGGATAATACCCGAACAGCTGATATGGCGCATTATCCGTCAACTTCACACTACGCACTGCACCATTTATATGCAGATCTACTGGAATTTGGCGCAAAGCATCTTAAGCTGGGCGGGCGCCTTGTTTGCTGGCTGCCCTTCCATCGGTAAGTAAACGAGGCAAAAGCCACAGTTGACAAGCTGCTGATATTAACTACTTCTAGTGAGGATTACAATGAATCAATTATACCTCAACACACGCATCTGCGCCTTGTGGCCAACTCGGAGCAGCCACTAGCTGGAAATGCAGCGCGACGTTTGCTGACATATGAGAAGCATATAGAGTACATCAAGGAAGACGCTCTCAATGAGAATTCCAATGACACACAGCTCACCACTGCTGCCTCGCAGAACTTTAGAGAACGATACTTTAATACAAATGGTGAAATAGAATCCCGTCAAGAAAGACGCATGCGAAAGGCTGCTCTAAGGGAGCAGGGTCGCTTGGAGATGGAGATGCGCGGGAAGCTTCCCAGCGATGGGCGGGCCAAGAAATGTGATTTAAACAAAGCGCGGTTTAACTAAATAATTTACTAATACATAACTATAAGCTTAAACATCTCATTGTTATTAATTTGTGACTCGCGCTTGTGTCTCTGTCCGCACGCAGCACTCGAAGATCTTCCCAAAGCTGTCCAGCAGGACATCTGTTGCCTCGGCTACACTGGTGTGTCGTCCAAGCTCCTCTGTGAGTGATGTAACGCCTTTGCCCTCGATGCCGCACGGCACAATGTGTTCAAACCATTTCAGATCAGTCGAGCAATTTAGGCCAATGCCATGGGTTGTGACGTAACGAGAGCCGTGCACTCCGATAGCACAAATTTTGCGATCATCTACCCAAATCCCTGTGTCCTTTGAGGTAGTCGCATTTGGTAAGCCCATTTGACGACAAGCTTCGATCACAGTGCGTTCCAATGTGCCTACGTACCAGCGTATGCTTGGCGTGAACTGGCGCAGGTTTATTATAGGGTAAGCAACCAATTGGCCGGGACCGTGAAATGTTATAAGACCGCCGCGATCTGTACGATGGAAATCGGCGCCCAGTTTGCGCAGTTTCTTCTCGTCCTCATCTGTGTAGCCTTTGGTTCGTATGCCAATGGTGTAGACTGGATCATGCTCCAATAGCAACAGGAAATTACGAAAGTCCGAATACTGTGACACATTTTGTTTAGCCAATTGCTGCTGTATTCGTAAACCTGCTGCATAACTTTGTCGCCCAGCGCGTACAACAGTTACTATGGGCCGAGCTGCTGGCATTTCGTGTTGATTTTAACAGAGCTGCTGTTCTCATCAGTTCGCTAAACAGATGAAAACTAAGTGTCTGACAAACATTCATTTTATGCGTTATATAGAACTTGCGCCAACCTGCCACCAATAAATGCTCAGCATGTCACTGACAAATAGTGTGACCGGGTCTGGCAATGCATACCTCTTGAAATGTGGCGCGTGTTCGATATGAAGTACTTATAGGCTCTGGCGGGTACTTAAAAATATTAAATGTCAAAAGTGTTTTACTTGATTGTAATAGTGTTGTAAGTATTCAAAAATGTTGTATATTGAAAACTATTAACGAATGTTATATTGTTCAATCGTGCTAATATAGTTGGATCAGGTATAAAATAACCAGCGTGTTGCATGTTTACTGCCAACATATCGCAGTTGCCACATCGCCCAAATTATTGTTATTGTTTCGTATATTAGTAAATCACATATATTACCAAAATTAGATTAGCAAATTATAATGCTAAAAATAAACAATAACAAATTCCAATAATTATGCCAAAATAGTATTTATTTCGCAAACTCGCGTTAGATCGATTATATCTATGTAGCCCTGTTTACGTTTATTGTGAGTGGCATTGGTGCCACATACACTTACACACGCAAGCATAATATATTATTTGTGTTAAAACTCATTGCAAAAAGAGAAGTGTAGCAACTGTATTTCAATTAGTGTTTGCAATCAGTATTTGCAAACAATTGCAGTAACTCATAGATGGAGCGCCAAGCGTACAAAACGCACAAACGCATGAAATTCTAATAGGACATAGCGTCAGTGCAAGCAAAAGGCACTGGCAAAAAATTTTTTTTTCTTTGGAGGATATGACGACGCGGACACGTCAGGATGAGCGCATTTGCTCGAGTGGTATTGTCGAGGATGAGGCTTTTGCTGCCGCCTATCACAATTTGCCACCACACAGTCCGGAGTTTGCCAATTTTTTGGCACACCAGCAACATCAGCAGCAGCAACAACAGCAGCAACAGCATCAGCAGCACCATCAACAACATTTGTTGCATCAACATCAGCAACAGCAGCAGGGGCAGGGGCCATTAATGTGGCCACCGCATATGGGTGTCCAATTTCCACAGCACCATCCGCACGCCCCACCGCCTCCACCCCATCATCATCATCAGCCACCACAACCGCAGCCAGCTCCTTCTCCTCACGTCTACAATGAATATTTATACAATCTAGCGTACTCCGGACCACCAGGTCAAACCGAAACGTATTCTGTGCTGCCTGTAGGCCATGGAAATTTCCTGAAGGTGTATCACTGTCCAGAGAATGCCGTCAATGATGTTTACGCTCAGCATGCGGCAGCGGCTGCAGCAGCTAACTACTCGCATATCAATATTACACCAGCGAACCAGCATCATCAGGCAGCTGCATCAGCTGGGCAGAATCAGGCACAGCCACAGCCATCGACAGCACAGCAAACGCCTCTGTATGAACTGTTTGCCACCAATCCGTTGCTGCCGAAGCCAGAGATGAATATTATAAACCAACAGCAGCAACAACAGCAGCAACAGCAACAACAACAACAACAACAGCAGCAGCAGCAAACACCTTCACAGTTCCATCAGGTTGATGATATCCCCACTGGCGTCACTTCTGCTGTGGCAAGCAGCAATAGCGCCAATTTGTTTATAAATAACCTTGTAAATAACTGGTCGCCCAATTTAACGGGCAGTAGTTATATACAGTTCGGCGCTGAAGCGCCTGAAACGAACGCGTATGTGGAAGCAACGCCGACGGCAGCGACAGCACCTCAACAGCCGCCGTCGCCCGTTAAATTGCAGCAGTCACAAGTGCAGTCGCCGCCGCCACTAGTTGAGTATCATGTCAATAGCGTGGAGGTACAACCGGCTAACTTAGGCGCCAAAGATGTCAAACTAAATGAAGCATTAGCAGCTACAACAACAACAAGTGCCGCAGAAACAACTGCAGCAGCAGCAACCACAACCACTGCCCTAAAGAAGCCACCGATTGTGGTGTCTGGTCCGACCGAAGGCAAGAAGCGCATTGTGGCCGAGGTGAAGCCCATGCCCATGTCCTACTCCGATGTCTTGAGCAAGGGCAGCACACTGCGTGGCACCGCGGCAACAATGCTCGCCAGCAACAATGCGGTCAACGAGCCGCGCTCGGTCAATAATTTGGAGAATGGCCATCCAACACAGCGACGATCAGGCAAGGAGGATAACAATGGCAACGGAAATAGGGAGATGCGCAATAATGCCAAGCGTTCGCCGCTGCACGAAATCAAGGATGGGCAATCTGGCAATGCAACAGGACATCGCAGCAAGAAGCGCCAGCAGTCGAATCAAGGAGCACAGCCAAAAGCGGTAAGGCACTGGGAGAAATCCGTTTAGAGAATACTTATAAAACAAGCTTTGATCTAGAAGCATCAGCATTCATTAGTTACATTTAGCATATTTAATATATAATTAGAGTATTTAATATATAAATAGATGTATATTAATATTTCTGTTCTAATTAATTCGATAGCCATTGCAGCAGCAACAGCAACAACCACAGCCGCAGCAGCAGCAACAGCAGCCCCAGCCCCAGCCCCAGCAGCAACAACAACAGCTGCCGCCAACACTTAAATCTGGTAAAGCCAATGCGGAAAAGAAGCGTTCTGCCCAAGCGAAATTTGTAAACAACACGAATAGCATGAACAATCTGAATGGATTCGCTGCCAAAACGAATGACAACAAGGCAAACAGCAATAGCAGCAGCAACGGCAACGGCAGCAGCAGCACCAACATGGCTACCAGCAACAACAGCAGTGCACCCAGCAGCAGTAGCAGCAGCAGCAACAGCAGCAGCGGCAATAATAACTATTCAAGCCGCAAGTCAAACAATGGCGGCAACAACAATCGCAGCAACAGCAACTCGCATGCAAATTACTCGAATGGCAATTCGAATAATTCCAATGGCAACAACAGCAACAGCCACCACAACATGAGCAGCAACAGCAATAACAATGGAAATTCCTCGTCGTCGTCGAAGCGCTATGCGGGCTCCTCGAATGCGAATTTAAGCTCCAACTCTGGCTCGTATTCGTACTCCTCGAAGCGCAATCGAAGCGGTGGATATGGCTCATCCAATTCGCCAGCTCATGCGAGCGCCTCGAATCGCAACTATGAGCTGGCCAAACGCATTCTGCACACCTGGTGGATTTATACGCTCAAGCTGATCACCTGGCTGTTCTATTTGGTCTATGACATTGTTGTGCTCGGCTGCAGCATGGCATATGAGCGCCTTACCACAGCGTATTTGGCTGGCGTCGCTTATGCACGCCAGCTGCACAAGGAACTGAAGCAGAATTCGGGAAAGCCGAGCATCTGGTGGCGCAACTATTGGCGTCGCTTCGATGCGCGCTTCAAGAAGAACTCTCGTTGGGCATTTTGGCGACGCTTCTACAAGCGAAAGCCGCCGGAGGCTAATGCAGAAGCATTCAAAACGGGTCGACTGCCGCAGACGGGTGAAGAGGCCATGTACTCGCTGTTGAACTGCAAGGGAAAGGATGCCTATAGGTATGTGTAAACAAACAATATAACAATAACATTAGTTATAATTACATTGTATTATTTCAGCATATTGGGCGTGCCGCCGGACAGTCCACAGGAGCAGATACGAAAACACTATAAGAAAATTGCCGTTCTGGTGCATCCGGATAAAAACAAGCAAGCGGGCGCCGAGGAGGCGTTCAAGGTGCTGCAGCGTGCATTCGAATTGATTGGTGAACCGGTATATAAATCAAACAGCCTCTCAGTTGAGATGATGTATTTAATGGCTTTTGATAATTGCAGGAAAATCGTCTTGCCTATGACCAAAGCATTGCCGAGGCCTTGCACGCGGAAAAGGCGTGGACGGAGCTGCACGACTTGCTATCGCAACTGCAAACCAAAATGACCGAGGCAGCCAATACTATAAGGTGAGCGCCACGAGTGACTTACCAAAGCAACTAAATCTTAAAGTAATAATTTCATGCATCCGCAGATGTAGCACCTGTGCGCAACGTCATCCTCGCAAGCTAACTGAACGTCCTCATTATGCAGCGCGTGAATGCGCTTCCTGTAAGATACGCCATTCGGCAAAGGATGTGAGTAGAGAGGCGCGTAGACATTGCATTCTACTGTTAGTAACAAATTTTCCATATGGCAGGGCGACATTTGGGCGGAGACAAGCATGCTGGGTTTGCGCTGGAAATATTTGGCGTTGATGGATGGCAAAGTTTACGACATAACCGAATGGGCCAACTGTCAGAAGGGCGCGTTGTCGCATCTGGAGCCCAATTCTCATATGGTACAGTATCGCATTGTGCGCGGCGCTCAACAGCAACAGCAGCAACAGCAACAGCAGCAGCAACAACAGCACCATCATCAGCAGCAGCAGCAACATTCACACCAACAGCAAACGCAATCACATGCGCATCATCCTGGCGGACCAGCCAGTGGTGTCAGGTAAGTCCACATTGATCATATATAATCAATTCATGTTTCAATTCGTATACATTTACAGTGAGGCTACGCTGCACGAGTTCTTGGACAATTTGTATAGCGGTCAGCATCCGGGTGCCCCCAATGCCACGCCTTTCGCTGGCAATTCACGCCGTCGCACGCGTCGCAACTAAAGTTAGCTATGCGTGGCATAGACTTAAGTGTTTTTAAAATCTCCAATCTACAGTTCTTATAAGCATTGCGCCGTTGGCTGCCCACTCACATAGATAAACTCTAATAGGCCAACATCAGCGCAACCATCTCCCAAATTAGCACACACACACACACATACATACGAATATACCACAATTGAAACAGATTAAGTTCTATGATAACTCCACTCTACTCGACATAAGTACAATGACTACCAATTGCTAATTATGTATGATTTACTATACTTGTGAATGTTTGTGTTAATAATGGTCTTGCATAAGTCTAAGGGTATTACGATTGCCCATCACTTAAGTAGTTGACGTCTGTGTTCTACATTTTACTTTCTGCCTACCGCATATGGACAGCTTAACACGCTTAGCTCGTAGCAAAAACAAGCCTAAGTCTAAGTTAAAATTCTAGATTGTAAACGGTTTGTACGCCACGCCATGGCGTATAAGCCGACAAATATATATGTAAAATCTAACACATCCGAATTATAAATGTTAATAAAAATCATCATATATAGAAGAACCTAAGGCAACAATTCTTTTATTTATTATTCCTGAAATAAATTGAAATGTTCTGTAAATTGTAAAATGGAAAGAACAGCGAGTTTTTGCATAAGCGTATTTTTTTTAGTGTTTTATTGAAAAAATGCTCCACTCCATTTCCGCCTAATTTTCTACACATTATTTTTGTTTTCTTTTGTTTGTATTTTTTTCTCTGTATAATAATAATAATAATTACAATTACATTCATAGTGTTTACATACTGCTCCAGCTCCACAAAAATGGCTACTACGCATACAAAATGTATTGCAATTGAATACCTATGGAACCTAGACTGTGTGGGACTTAGAGTCTATTTTGTTTATGTTTTTTGCTTCGATTTTGTTTTGTTTTTATTCTTGTTTTTTTTTTTTTTTTCTTTCTGCCAACAAAGTTTGCTGTTTTGGGAATTTTGTTGATTTTATCTTATTCATATTTTATATATAGTATGTGTATATTTTTGTGGGGTTTTTTCTTTTTGTTGATTTTGTCGTAAGTTGCTGTCGCATGCTAATGTTGCATGCCTTCAAAAATTTTTGTAGTTTAGTGGCATAATTTATTTGTAATAAATTAATGAAACATGTAATTGTTCTGTATGGATTTTTTTTTTTTTAAATTTGTGAATTTCCACAAATTTGTTGTTTGTTTATAGTATTTGTTGCTTGACTTAAATAGTTCTGACTGCTTTTGCTTAAATTCCTCAACAAATATTGCGACTAATATTAAATTACAATTTATTATTTTTTGTTTTTTCTTTATACATTTACAAAACTTTTTTGAACCAACTTATTTTATTACTATAAATTTTTTTTTTGTTTTTTTCGCCATTTATATATAAGTATATATATATATAAGTATATAAATTAAATTCTATGCTTAAATACATAGATTAATTCCATGCTCACATACAATTTAGTGAAATAAAGCATTAGGCTCAATTTATAAATTGTTTTCTTGGTTTTTTTATTTTTTGTTTTTTTTTTTTGTATTTTTTTTTGTTTTTCTATACAAAGCTTTGTACAACTAAAATAGTTAAAAAGAGAAAAAAGCAACAAAAATGTATTTTATATATATGGATGCATCATACATGCGCACATACGCTGTATATACATACACACACACACACATATACAAAACGAATATGTATGCATCAGATTGTAGTATGCAGAGCGAATGCTCGCCGTAAAAACAAATATTATTAATATTATTATTATGCATTACAATTATTATTAATTAAATTGTTTAATAATAATTAGTACCAATAACAATATGCCCCTAGTGTTTCACTTTTATGTATATATATATATTTTTTTTATGCTTTACTAAAAGTTATTTCAATGTCAATACAATATCCGAAACTTGTATGTATATCTGCTTATGTGGATGTAAATGAATGCTGTTCGAGTGTGAGAGGGTGAGTGTGAGTGTGTGAATGTGTGGATGTATATGTGTGGATTTGTGTGTGTGTGTGCTTATGACTGTTGGAGCATGAATTGCTGCTCCGGGCGCTTGGCTGTGCTCTCTTCTGTTTGACCTCTCCTCTAAGCTCTATGTTGGCGCCGACCCACATTATCCCGATATTATTTCGGTGTCTTCCGGTGTTTCAGCTCCTGGGCGACATCGTCCAGCAGCTGGGTGGCATAGCCGTTGCCATTGCCATAGCCATTGGCGAGCAGGACACCGTTCGATTTGTGCGCACTGCCATTGGTCAAGGACGTCACCGCATCGCCATTGGCCAGCGTCTTATAGCCGTTCTTCAGGCCATTCGCATGGCCATTGCTGAGCGCCGCGTTGCCATTGCCGTTGGCCTTGGCCGTTGCTGACGCTGCTGCGGCTGCTGCTGCTGCTGCCTCTGTCGTCGTCGTTTGTGGCAAGAACAGATCGTCGTGGGCATTGATGCTCTTGCAGTAGCCGTTCGGCTTAGCGTGTCCGTTGGCCAGCGCTGCGTTCTGCTTCTGCGAAAACAAATAAAAGCGTGTGAACGAAAACATAAAGGAAATATTAATTTGTAATTGCAGACCCACGGTGCGTATGATTGATATGAATGTTGCGCATGCGACGCGTGATTACACACACACACGTATATTTTAATTTATTATATGCCATTATTTGGATTTTCTTTTGTTTATGTTTGTGTGTGTGCGGCCCACTAAAAAAATAAAATATCCAACAACAACAGAAATACATATTATGCAATCAGCTGAGACGCTTTGTCAGCGTTTGTTTATTATTTTTATTTATATTTTTTATTTTTTTGCTTTTTCATTCGTATTTTGTCTCGCGTTTTTTTTTTTTTTTTTTTTCATTCAACTTTCACTTGCGCGCTGCTCAATGGATGCTGTGGGTCGCCGCCAACGTCGCTGCCGCTGCCGCTGCCGCCGCCGCAGTCGACATCAACGTTGGCCCAATGAGCGTGGAAGATCATTAAGCGACAACATTTTTGGCGCTTTTGTGTTGGACAAAGCGGACTTAAATGTAAACCCAATTCCCCCGAGACCTACTTGACGAAATTTCGTTAATGAATTTAGACCACAGAGAGCGAGAGCGAGAGCGAGAGCGAGTCACAGATGTTTGCAATAGGCGTCTGCAACATACAGAGATCGGATGTAATCGTATGTGATATAAGCGTTCGCACGGTTTTCGTTTTCATGAATTCGTGAACGAATCCGGAATCTGGAATACGAGCGATGCGAACGTATTTCATGTTTATGACATTTTGTGTGGCTTTAAATGGCTTTCAAGCAACGTGGGAAGCCACGGCGGGGCGAGTAGGCCTCGGTTAGGCCTTTCAACTATGCGCCTTGATGGCCGATAATTATCATAATGGGCGACGTGAGAAGCTGTTGCACCTCAAAATGCTCTCATTTCCGGAAGAGAGATGGAAAGGTGGAGTGAGAGAGAGAGAGAGAGAGAGAGGCAAAACTGGCTTTTGTTTACTCAGTTGAGAGGGTGTTCTGGCACTTACCATTAGACGGTTTTTGTAGGCTGCCTTGTAGAACTCGTTGAACAGGAAGAAGAACATGACAGCATGCATGCCTATCCACCAGACGAAGGCCTTCGGGTAATTGCAGTCAATAAAGAGCAATTGGAAGGCGTGCACCATGATAAGAATAAACTGAACCTGCACCGGGCGACCATAAATCACAGATTTAATAAACTGATTTATATAGCAATATTGATATGATTAATCCGCTTACCATTTGCAGCGTAGTCAGGTACTTCTTCCACCAGAGGTACTTCTGGTATTGTGGACCCATGGCCGAGAACATGTAGTACGTGTACATCACAATGTGAACGAATGTGTTGAGCAGGCCAAAGAATGTGCTGTGACCACCTGGAAGATGCATATATATGGCGCATTATAGGGTATCTGACAGCACAGTTGGCCGTTTTCAGGAAACGCACCTGGAGTGAACTTAACACCGAACCACACCGACATGGGCATGCAGCCGTGATGGATCACATGGAGAGTTGTTACCTGGCTCGTCTTCTTGCGCAGCACGAAGAAAATCTGCAAACGAACAACAAATATTGTGAATCTGGGCGACATTGTGAATGGGCGTCAGCACACTTACCGTATCCATGAACTCTGTGAACTTGGAAAAGTAATACCACCAGCACGCATGAACCATCTGAGTGGGCGGGAGTGGGAGGAGGCAGCAGCAGAGAAAATATTAGAGAATCGATTAGCAAAGGCTTTGAGCAGGCGAAAATTGAAATTAAATCAACTCACACACAGACTTTTGAATACCCTAAGTTGCGTATGTTTCATGTATGAAACACTTGATCAAATGTCGATTAGGGTATCCACCAAGCACGGCCTGGCCATTGCTTCTATTCCATCACTCACACTCAATTTGAGGCTTCAATTTATGTTTATTGTTTTTAAATCATAATCAAATTATTTTGTAATTCAATTCAATTCAATTCAGTCATTCATGCGCACGCTTTAATAAGTATATTAATTGTCAAAATGCAGCAGATAGTTCAAAAGATATAGTAGAGTTGGAGGGGGGTATAAACATTCAATTAATTGATTAACGGTTTTTGAGAAAATTTGAAGAAATCAGTTGCCTGGCCATCGGTAAATAGAGTCTTAGGTATATGTATATTTTTGGGGGGGTTGCATATATATATATAGATATATGGGGGTTTAGCGAGATATAGATAGTTTGTAAACAGTTTCCAGTTTTTTGGATGGGTAGGTGTTTTATTTTGGGGTCCAGAGTTTTCTACATTCTGTAAGAGAGATGGGTATCGATAACGATTGTTATCGATCTGTTTTAGTTACACAATTTTAGGGTGCGGACAGTTATGCAAACGGCAAACACATGCTCCGATCTGGATTAGGATCTAGTTGTTGTTGTTGTTGTTGGTTAGCATGAGTTGTAATTATATATTATACAGAATTGGGTTATTGTTTAGGTGTACGAATAGGTGCAACATTTTATTATCGCTGTGTACCCAAAGTTGATAAAAAATATATTTATATAATAATATTGAATATTGGTATTGTAAGTATCTAGGTATTTTGTTGTTTATATTATCAGCCCAAAACCAATTCAGGCGCACACACCCACACAAGCACACCAAATGTATTCTTATCAACTAGTTTATCGTTATCAATAGAAGCTAATCAATATCGTTATTCAACGTCGTTTGTCAGTTTAACACATACCCTTAACGTTCTAGGATTATTACTATAGTCAACTGGCTGACATCGGAAGCTATAATGTCCTGTTAGCCAACCGGAAACTCCTATCTGCAAATGTAGAGTTTATTTTCGTTTTTGGTTTTCTTTTTTCTTTTCATATATCAAATTTGGATTTTTTTGAAAATGTTTTTTTTGTTGTTGTGATTTATGATGATTTTTTTTTTCTTTTTGCTGGCATCGATTTTGCGTTGGCGTTTTGGCATTTTTATTTAGCGGCTTCCA